TATGCCATAGATCTCCGAGCCTAGTTGGTCTATTCAGTAGTTGTAGTAGCTTTCAGGGATAGTCTCGGTGTATGAACAACTGTTATATACTTTTATAATTCGGGTTACTTTTTACAATCACGTTAGTGTCAACTTCGTTAGTTCAACACCGAGAAATGCCGAGTTATAAGGTGCATGTCAGGTATCAATTAGCCATTCCGAAGTTGATGAGAGGACTGGAGACGAGTGCTGAAAAGTGCCCAAATTAAGAAATGAACTGAAATCACTAATAAGACCACCTCAAAATTAGTAAGTATACAAAGTCTGAAGACATGAATACCCTTCAAATAATAAGCTTTCGAAAATCGCGAAAATTTACTATGAAATAATGTATTGTAATTTTTGTTTTGGGGGACTCGCGCGTCCCGAAAACAATCTTTTAATCCCGGCAGTAATTTCACAATTTTCGAAAGCTTATTATTCGAAGGGTATTCATGTAAACGTCTTCAAACTTTGTATACTTACTAATTTTGAGGTAGTCTTTTAGTAATTTGGTTCATTTCTTAATTTGGGCACTTTTTAACACTTGTCCCCAGCCCACTCACCAACTTTGGAATGGCTAATTGGGTGAAAGTCCAGTTCCTCATCCCAGTCACACGTGTTGTCCTGTGACATATCATGTTATTTATGTGTCAGTGTAATGATAATAGTAATGATAATAATAATAATATAGGTACTTCTAATTTAGTTTGGAAGGAAAGCCAGTGATCCTCTAAGCATATAGGAGGCGAGTTTGGTGATCGCAGTCGTTAGTATGGAAAAAAAGTGGTACCTGGCTAATAGGCAAACTTCACAGGTCTCTGAAATGATGTTGAGAATCACTAAAATGCCAAGGTCACGTGGTCCGATGCTTGCATAAGGATTGATATAGGAAAACAATTGCTGTATTTTGGAGTATTTTGTAAATTAAAGCGAAATCTTTTTCGTTAGTTGTAAGTATAGTTTTTTATGACTACGGCCGAAACTACGGCTTTTATGGACCGGATGCCCAATGATTTTTTAGCCAGCAAGCACCACCAAGAAGATCAAATTACAATTGTTTGAGGCCCGAACATTCAGTGGGCCCGAATAACATAATTAACAAGCAACCTAACGTCCTAACCAGTCTTTTACAATTTCCAACCACACTTTATTTGTACGTGTACAGAACAGTTAGGGGACAGGTATAAATTCTTCAACATTCACGATACAGTTACCTTCCGCTCTATTGATTTTCCTGCCCAGCATGTATATAGTTGCATAAGATATTTTTTAGAGGTTATCAACTTATCAGTGAACTCAAATTGTCTCGGGGCCGGTAGTACTGCACTGTAATGGGCCATGGAGCCGGTCATTGTAAAATGGGATTAACTTTCTTATCATCCATATATTAGCATACGCACATTTTTCATTTCTATAGACCCCTTGGGCTATATATACAAATATACGATTGAGTTCTGAACCGATAGTAAGGAAGCGTTTGCAAATTTGCAATATTAAATAGAAATACTGAATTCTCAAATCATTGTAAATATAATTCTATATCTTGTCCTGAACTTAAAACAGGTGGCCAATATATATATAATATCGACCACAAAATTCCCATCTTGTGGTGATGCATGACAATTCGCATGGTTGCAAAGGCTATTTACGTAAATATGCACTGCTGGTCACGTCAAGTCGGACACTTGTAATGCAAAAGGAGTTTCTTAATCTAGATTTACATCTCTGCAGGGTTAATTACAGACTTCCGCACTCATCACTGTGTTATCATCTTTAACCCGGCTTTGTGGATTGCTGGATAATGCTTGTAACGTTTATGTAAACATGCTGTTGACTTATTGAAAGATTGAAAGTTATATATGAGGCCAATACTCAATATGCATCTGTTCTTTAAACAACATGTTATATGAATACAAACAAATACAATTCTATCTTAATATGCTATTGCAATGTCATTCAAATTTCAATGCCAGAATTTTCGCAACAAATTAGATTGACAGTGAGAATATAATCAGCTACTGAGTCAGAGCAAGCATAAGACAGAACTGCGAATTATCATCATCGGTTATCTTTTCATGCTGCAATCACGAAACCTAATCCAATCCCTATCCCTCTATAAAGTTCTAACCAATCATATTTCGTGATTATCCCTATCAGGCGTATGCGCCATGCATGTAAAAAAACATCGTTCATAAAATACGGAACATATTGTCCTACTATGCATGCAGATATCAGAAATTCTATACATACAATAGTCTAGGGGATTTAACCAGACAACATATATCCTGTTTGAGTTAACATGAAGTGTCAACGGTATGACGCAAATTTCTCAAATTATTTGTCGATAGTGGTCTTGTGGAAGTCAAATCTAGGTATATATCTTCATGATTTGCGCACAATGTGGTTAGGTGTAGGGAAGGCTGCGATTACACGGGGTCAAGATCAAAGATGATTATATATTTCGTGGGTGAAACATGCGTGATATTCCCCAAAACAACTGACATGCGCACTTCTTTGCTGCGAAAAGTTGCGAAGAGCTGTTTGCCGCACACTAGGAATTTTTGTCACGGATGGCAGAAAATATCAAACATGTTTGATATTTGTTGTTCACGTCACGAGTGAGCGGAGTGACAAAAATCCCGTACACTAGGATTTTTGTCGTACGTCTGACTGGCACGAATGACAAGCGTGCAACATGCACCAGTGTTAATCATGCAAATGTGTTTAACCATTAAATTGATTAAATTCAATAATAATACTTACAGTATTTGTTATGGCTGAGGTTTGTCTGTTAATGGACGTGGCCTTGGGAGCTGAAAATCTCAATTGCCCACCAAGAATTAATTATTCACGCACCTAAGCATTTTCACTGAACAAACATCTAAAAGAATAATTGTTTCCCCATAACATTACGCGGGAAAATGCACTAATAACTGATTAAAAGTACACGTAATTTGCATATCTTCTGGCATGTATAAAGCAAAACATTTAAGCGAACGCTGCCAATTTTTAAACGTCTCCAGGAGAACCATTTAATTGACTACAGTGTGTATAAAAAACCCCTGAACCCTTTCAAATTCAAATTACTATAACGTATACCGTAAATATAAATACTGTATTTCTTTTAAATTTTCTAATTTCTATTTCTTTGAGTTTTGTCCCATGAGTACAAAACCGGTCCTTGTGAGTCTTACCCAACCATTAAAGTGCCTATGCAACGAATTTTTCACCTCATTTTTTATTGTTTTTCTAAAAAGTACTGCTGGAGTGATGAAGAATGACGTTTACAGTTTCGTCATATCTCATCTCATTCTCAAGTTATCACACTTTCTATATTTTGAGTTGTGACGTCACAAGTATGAGTTGAGATAATGGCAATAACAAGAAAGTATGATATCTTGGTGAGTATTTAATAAAATTCAATGAAACTTGGTACACTTAGTGGGTGCACTCATATGAATATTTTGGGTAGGTCATGTGGTTGTCATGGCAACACACTAGTCCCCAGTCTCTTCTCTTCCTTTCACAACTTTCCTCCCGTAGACCTCTTGCAGAGGATGTTTACATGTTATAACTGTATAAACTGATCACAATACCTACACGTATTATAGTAATAAGCGAAAATTGTAGAAATTGCTATTTATTTCGTTGAAAATGGATCATATAGAAATTGGAAGAGAAGGGACTGGGGACGAGTGTGTTGCCATAACAACCATATAAACAAGCCAAATTGTTGACTTTGTTGCACCCACTAAGTGTACCAAGTTTCATTAAATTTTATTAAATACTCACCAAGATATCATACTTTCTTGTTATTGCCATTATCTCAACTCATGTTTGTGACGTCACAACTCAAAATATACAAAGTGCAATAACTTGAGAATGAGATGAGATATGACAAAACTGTAAACGTCACTTTTCATCACTCCAGCAGTACTTTTTAGAAAAACAATTTAGAAAAGCAATAAACAATGAGGTGAAAATT